TTCTTTCTTTCTTTCTTTCTTTCTTTCTTTCTTTCTTTCTTTCTTTCTTTCTTTCTTTCTTTCTTCCTTCCTTCCTTCCTTCCTTCCTTCCTTCCTTCCTTCCTTCCTTCCTTCCTTCCTTTGTTCTCTTTCCATGTTGTTGTGAAAAATCCAACCACTTTCAAAGATCAGAGATGTACAAAATTATATGGCAAAGTTCCCAAAACGAGTGACGCAAAAACAAGAGAAATCAGTGCAATTCGGTTGGTTTGTACAATGTAGGCGGTTGCCCAGTTTGTGCAGCTCCCAGTTCTGATTTCACCAAAGCAGCTCATCTCCTACCCTGTTTGCATCCTCCAGTATTTCTGACAACACAGAGCAGCAAAGCTGGTTTTGCAAATCATGTACACACCGAATGACACTCTTAGACTTTGGCACTTCGTTCTTGTTCCCGTAGGACTGACCCGTTTGGAAGTAAGTGTTGTCAGCGCACATACCTTCCATCCCTCCCTCCCTCTGCATGTTCTTCTAAAAGAATGCACCACTGTGTGAAACCGTCTTGACACAAATGGAAGAGGGTTGTTTTGCAAAGTTTAGTGAACTGGCGCAAGTCTTCGGGGACCAGCTGCACACACGAATTCCAAACTGTCAAACAACATAGGGCACTATGTGTATTTAAGCATCTGCTGCCATCTGTTCTGACCAGGGAGAGCTTATGGATTTATAGAAAAAAAACACCCCACTCTCTGCCTGTATTTGCTTCTCTCTTTCTCTTTTTAAAGCTGTTAACTAATCTCCGAACCGTAGGCATTAAATATAGCCAGACCCCGGCACAACGGAGACAAGCTACTCACCCTAAGCTCAAAGAAAAGCAGGCAAAGAGAGACTCACCTGGATGGCAACCTTCAGCGTGGAATCATCTACAATCTGGGTGCAGAGCAACGAGTCAGGATCTTGGGGTATCCTGTAGATCTCGCCCATGATTAAGATCATCGGGATGGCCAGCAGGAAGGAGGCCACCCAAATGCAACTGATGAATTTTTTGGTCCGGCTCCTGGACATGATGCTCTTGGCTTTGAAAGGGTGACAGATGGCCATGTACCTCTCCACGCTGAGGCTGGCGATGTTGAGAGACGTAGCGTAGGTGCAGGCATCCCTCAGAAAGTAGTAGCACTTGCAGACATCGTTGCCGAAAGCCCAGGGGTGGTGCACCCAGATGAAGTTGTAGAGTTCGATAGGCATGCAGAGGAGGAAGATGAGCAGGTCAGAGAATGCCAAGCTGGCCAGGTGATAGTGCACCGTGCTTTGGAGATTCTGCAGGGACTTCTTCCTCACCAGGGTGTAAGCAGTGATGGAGTTGCCCACCGTCCCCAGCAGGAACAGCACCAAGTAGACGATGGTCACCATCACCTTGGAGTAGATGTCTGTGTTGACATCCAGATCCTCCTCGTTGGGTGGGATGGACGTAAGTCCCGAACTGTTGGACAGGTTCTCTGCTGTAGCGGGCAGGACAGAATTGGAGGACGGCAGGTGAAACTCGCTCATCGGGTATCCCAGCTGGTAGAGGGAAGAAGTTGCGTTGAGATGCATGGTTTGGCTCTCCAGCTCCTGCACTCCAAGGAGAGATGCTGTGGCTCTTTGGGGTATCCAACCCAAGCTTGTTTTTCCAAGCAAGAGATGGTGTGGGAGATGCAACTGCCACCTTCCTGCCTGTCAGAGCGAAGCAAAAAAACAAACAAAACACCACCTCCCACTATGCACCCTAAGAGGAAACTTGACTCGCTTTAATAGGAGAGAGAGGAGGAGCTTGCAGACCAGTCTCTCCGTGCCTGTGCAAGGGAGGGGAGGAAGAGATTTAAGCAGCCCTCGTGTGGAGACGAGGGCCAGAAAGCTGCAAGCAGCCGCTTCTCAGAGCGAGTGCATCTTCGCTGTGCAAACAGCGGCTGTGTCTTTCCCTCGACCCTCCTCTCTCTCCCTTTGCTCTCTGTGCAAGCCATGAATTCCCATTCCTTCCAGATGGGAATTGCAGTAATGTGCTTTAACAGGTCAGGCGCTTCCTGTCCTCTTTCCAAAGGACGAACATAAAGGAGACCCATCCGATTTGCAAAACAGGGCATACATAATTCTTCCCTAAATATGGTCCTTATTTACCCCTATTTCTCCATCCCATCTCCACCCAGTTTAAATGTTTGGCCTTTTGCACCCACCTCCTCTTCCTAATACGGTGGTGTTCATTTTACACCTATTCACGTTTTAAACCTACCATTTTTTTAAAAAAAATGTTTTAATTTTCTAATTGTTTTACACTGCGGATTTCGATATTGTAAGCCATCCACAGTCACTCGATGGTGAGATGGGGAGCATATTTACTTATTCTATGTGTTCGTTTGTAAAATATTGGAGGGGCTGCCCCAAAGAACAGGGGGTCAAGCTATTCTCCAAAGCACCTGAAGGCAGGACAAGAAGCAACGGATGGAAACTAATCAAGGAGAGAAGCAACCTAGAACTAAGAAGAGATTTCCTGACGGTTAGAACAATTAATCAGTGGAATTGCTTGCCTTTAGATGTTAAGGGTGCTCAAACCCTGGAGGCTTTTAAGAAGACACTGGACAATCATCTGTCTAAAATGGTATGGGTCCCCTGCAAAGGGGGTTGGACTACAAGACCTCCGGTGTCTCTTCCAACTCTGTTATTCTGTATTCTATATATTGTTTGCCAGCCATCTTTCTACCAAAGGCATTGTGTGGGCATGGATGTCTCAGGGTCTTTGGACTCTGTTTATTAGATAGATGATAGATAGATACAGGGGTGGGCTTCAAAATTTTTAGCAAAGGGTTCTTTGCCCAGTTGCTGGGTGGGCATGGCCATGGTGCGTGTGGCCTACTCAGCCTCCTGCACCACGGCGGGATGTGTGTGCTTTTGCTCTCCCCAGGCTCCAGAGGCTTCCCTCGAGCCTCTGGGAGGGTGACAACAGCCCTCCCAGCCTCCGGAGGCTCTCTGGAAGCCAGAAATGGACCCATTTCCGGCCTTCCTGAACTTCCAGGAGTCCCATTTTTTGCCCTTCCTGAGACTCCACACGCACCATCTGCACCCAAAACGGGCTCCGTGGGGAGTCCTGAAAGGGCCAGGGCAGGGTGGGGTTTGGGGGTTCTCTGAACGGCACAGAACTGTGCAGAATCTTAGCTAGGGGCTCTCCTGAACCCCTGCGAATCCCCAGCGGCCCACCCCTGGATGGATAGGTACAGGGGTGGGATTCAAATTTTTTAACAACTGGTTCTGTGGGCGTGGCTTAGTTGGTGGGCATGGCTTGGTGGTCATGTGATTGGCTGGGCGCTGCCAACTCAATATCACTCACATCGAGGCACGCATCTCCTCGCCTGGCCTCTCATGACTGTGGGGATGCTGCAACAGTCATAAGTGTGGAAAAACGGTCATAAGTCACTTTTTTCAGTGCCATTGTAACTTTGAATGGTCACTCCACACAAGCAAAGTACCAGCAAAGGAGGGGAAAAAAAACTCCAGAGAAGTTCCTGAGACAGGAAGTCCAGTCCTGCCAAGAATGTAATAAGGGTTAACGGAGAGGCAGTTTCTGTAAGCAACACCAGAATGTTTCCTTCCTGCCTTCCTTACAGGATTAGGCCAGTCATTTCCTCTAACAACCGGTTCTCCGAACTGCTTACAATGTTAACAACCGGTTCTAGTGAATAGGTGCAAACTGGTAGAATCCCACCCCTGGATAGGTAGGTAGGCAGGCAGGCAGGCAGGCAGGCAGATAGACATGGATTCCTTACCATGCTAGAAAAGGTATATGTTTAGATAAACGGGTTCCATAAATTGTCACATGTGTGCATAGGTTTGTATATGTATACATGTGAATTGAGAAGGAGAGCATTACACACACACACACAGGCGAGCATTACACACACACACACACACACACACACACACACACACACACACACAAATGCATACAGAAAGATAACAGGCCTGAGCTTCCCTTTCCTTTAGAAGATGGAAGCAGATTTAGAAAGTCAGTGGATTAATGTTACAGACTCACTCTCTAGGTGATTACGCTGTTTCATGGCAGAAAGAAAATAGACTGAATTGTGAATCAACAAGTCCTTGGCCGAAATGTTGGATCTGCCATAAACTTGCAATTAATTTCTTTATCACACTTCCAAGCTGCCCACAGTCATTGTTCTCTAGAGAATGTACTAAACAATACAATATAAATCGAAAAATAAAAACCAGCAGCTTTACAGAGACCTAAAAACAGTCCGTTGCTGGCATACAAGACTCCTTGCTGCAGAACTCTGTTTAAAACATATTTTAAACATTTAAAATGAGATATCTCCTGTCTCTAGGATAACCTAGCATGCAGTAACCATGCTACATGGCTTTTGATTTTTTTTTTAATACTTCCAACTGTTCCCCCCTTTCCATTTCATTCTTGTGTGGGATGTATTTGCAGACTTAATTTTAGCAGGAGAGCTAGTTTGGTATAGTGGTTTAGGTATCAGATTGGAAGATTGGGAGTTCTAGTCCTGCCTTAGCCATGAAAGCCAGCAGGATGACTTTGGGCCAGTGACCATGAGACCATGACTTCTAGACTAGTCCTGTCTTAGATAGGAAAGCTGGCTGGGTGGCTTTGGGCCAGTCACCAGGAGACTGTGAGTTCTAGTCCTGCCTTAGCCATGAAAGCCAGCTGGGTGGCTTTGGGCCAGTGACTAGGAGACTGTGAGTTCTAGTCCTTCCATGAAAGCCAGCTGGGTGATGACTATGGGCCAGTCACCAGGAGATAGTCACTAAACAATCAGCTGTAAGTTAAGGACTACCTGTATTAGAACAACAGGTGTTTTTCACCTTGAAGAAGCTAAACTGGATATATAATATACACATAGGTTGGGAGGTGGCCACAACTGGTCCAATTTAAAGGTTTAGAAGCTAAGCAATGTTAGGGTTGGTAAGGATATGGGTGGCAGACCACCATCGTCTGTTGAAGTTGTAGGCTAGACTAGGAAATTGAAAAAAATAGCTTGGAGGAAGGAGACAAGTTGCCACAATGTTTGCTTTGTGTACACACTGCAAAATGTGGGAGCTGTGCAAACGCACAACCATTGCAGCACAATCAGCATAAACTATGAAAAGAAAAAAAGGTGGAAATTAATCCAGGAGAGAAGCAAGCTAGAATTAAGGAAAAATTTCCTGACAATGAGAAAAAATAATCAGTGGAACAGCTTGCCTCCAGAAGCTGTGGGAGCTCCAACACTGGAAATTTTAAAGAAGAGACTGGAATGATATAGAATCTCATGCTCGAGCAGGGGTTGGACTAGAACAGGGGTCACCAACCTTTTGGATGTCATAATTTTAAATCCCGGGGACCAGAGACCCTGGGAAAATCCCCCAAAAAATCTGCAGGAAAATTCCCCCACCCCGTTTTCCTACCGATCAATCGTTCTTTATTTGGGATCGCAGGATACCATCTCCAGCTCTATTCTCAGAGAGAGAGAGAGAGAGAGAGAGAGAGAGAGAGAGAGAGAGACTTTTGGCTTCATGCAAGGAAAGCAGCAGAAGCAGCAGAAGCCTTTCTTTCTCTCCTCCAAACTCTGCCAGAAATAAGTGTTTGCCGGCACAGCCTCTTGGAGCAGGATACCTTGCAGGGTCCCAAAGACTCATTTCTGGTGAAATTTGGGGGAAGAGAAAGAAAGACTTTTGCTGCTTTCTTTGCATGCAGCCAAAAGCAGAAGAAGAAAGAAGCGGAAAGAAGCAGCCTGGTGGCCAAGCCAGGAACGTGGGGTGAATGGGACAAATTCTCACCCTCTGCCCTTTCTCCCCTGCTCTCACTACCTCGTGCTGTTTGCAATACAAGCGACACAAGCCTTGTGTTCCCACAGGCCGTGTGGGCAGCACAGCCTTGTGTTCCCATGCAGCCTGGATTAATTGCTTTGGAGAGTGCTTTGGGGGTGACAGTTCTCTGCGGACCACCAAAATTTTCTCACCGACTACCAGTAGTCCCTGGCCAACTTGGTTGGTGACCACTGCACTAGAAGACCTCCAAGGTCCCTTCCAGCTCTGTTACTCTGTTACTCTGTTACTCTATTATTCTTTACTATTATAAGGAGTCTCGGTGGTGCAATGGTTAGAGTGCAGTACTGCAAGCTACTCCTACTGCAATTTGGCTGATCGAATCCCACCAGGTTCAAGGTTGACTCAGCCTTGGGTAAAATGAGGACCCAGATTGTTGGGGTCAAGAGGCTGACTCTGTAAACCATTTAGAGAGGGCTGTAAAAGCACTGTGAAGTGGTATATAAGTCTAAGTGCTATTGCTATTCTGTAAATCTGGACTGCCACCCATTACAAAAAAGCTTTTTCAGAATCAAAGCCAAACAATGTCATGCTTTTTCCAAAGATATTCATTTAGTCTAAGGGATGATCAATAATGCTGGATTTTTCAATGCTTTCAATCAAGTAACCATTTTTAAATTTAAAAATAACTTTAAAGGTAATTACAGTCCCAAGTGTTCTGTTTAATCTGCATATGTTTATCCATCACTTAATCTTAACAGCATTGCCTTCAACGTTTCTTTGGAAATGTTTTAAAGGTGAATTGTAAATTGAATCCAACTTCTTTCTATTTTTTTTTCTAATAATAATCTGATCTAGGTAG